TAATATATATCATCTTTAAAATGCATTAACAAAAAATAAAGATAAAATTCCAGCAGGTATTTCTTAAAGGAAACCAAAACTACTACTAATAAGACTAATTAAAAAAAGTTGTTTGGGAGGGGCGGGGCCAGCTCTCGGCATGAACGGTCGCATAACTACTGCTCTCCGTCGACCGCAGCCTAATAAGGCTCAAAATCAGCCGCAAGAAGCACCCTACCACACGGCAGACAGCCTGCTAACACTCCTCCACCGAAGGGGAGAAAAATGAAAAAAACGCGCGTGGATCGCCCGCAGTTCACGACCTATATAGGCGACCTGCTGAGGAGACAGCATGGCGCGGCGGGACCCAACATGGCGGCTGACTTTGAGGATTACTCTTGGAGCTCGGACAACACATCCCTCCACTGCCCTGAGACATTGGGCTACAAGGGACCATCCAAACTCACACAACCGACGGCGGGTCTCCCGGTTACCACAGAGATTCTTACCTCTCTCCTGACCGACCTACACCAGTCGCTCTCCACGGAGATTTCCCAGGTAAGGGAGGATGTTAAGGGGTTCACTGATCGCCTCTCGGCAGTGGAGCAAACCCCTCAGGCACAGGCAGCACAAATGACAGAGCTACAGAATCAAGTCAAAGACCTCTCCTCAGCTCACACTACACTCACCCACCAACTAGCAGCTATGGAAGACAAAAGGAGGTGGAAGCATATCAAAATTAGAGGCCTCTCAGATGCTGTATCCCCAGCTGAACTTCCCCATCTCCTATGGCGGCTTTTTGCGGCCCTCCTGTCCCCTAAATAAGCTAAAGGAGTGCAGCTGGATGGCATGTTCCGCCTGCCCAAGCCACCACAACTCGCAAGCTCTGCAACAGGTGACCTCCTGGTCAAATTTCAAAATGGGCAAGACAAGGCTGCTTTAATGGGTGCCATCAAAGGGAAGAATCCCTACTGCTTTGAAGACATGGACTTAACGTTCTACTCTGATCTCTCGCGCACAACCCTGCAACGGCGTAAGTCTCTCTGACCACTTACTGCAGCATTAACAGCCAAGAGAGTGAAGTACCATTGGGGACCATCACACGTACTCCTCATCCAACACCAAGGAAAGGAATATAAAGCGACAGACATCGCGGAGATGGACAATGTCTTGGCAGCTATGGGACTCCTAACCTCCTCGACCATTACTGCTTGGGATCCAGCTAATATTGTCCCATTTGTTCCAGCATCCAGGGGCTCACCTGGGATGAAGATAACCTGAACCGGGACTTTCGTTTTGTTTTTATGTTGCTTTCATTTTTCATGTTCTCTTTTCTATCCACACTAATATAAGATGAATGTTGATTAACAGGCATAGGCCTCTATGGATGTATAACCCAGGGCTTCCTGCACACACATAGCAGGATTGCTACACGGCGGCCACTTACCGCCGAACAGGGCATAACCCGGACACGTTGGCTCCTTTCTCTCCCTACTCCCCTCCAGCTCCACCCCAATTACCTCATAACGTGGTCACTAACAAGGAGCTGCTCAAATACCTCACCAGGTTACACGTCAGTATCCCCCGTTAACCTTCACTACCTATGACAGCCTAGGCTATGTACAGCCCCCACCCTTCCACATTGCCTTATAATCACCCTCATGGCCTACAAATGGAGTTTCCCTGTACCCCGCAACAAAGGCATATCGACCTACTCCATTAGAGGGCTAGGTCCCAACTCAACCTCGACACATAAGAGCACACCATGCCTTCACTTATAGACTAACTCCAGATCACAAGCACGTATGCCAAAACTAACCCTACGACCAGAATGGAAACTACTCCTTTCACACATTGCCTTTAACTCTATGTTGTTAGACTCTGCGAATTATCTTTACCATTTTAAAAATTGTGCCATTACTCGGAATGCCATGCTATTGTTATACTTTATTACTAATAAGCTTGCTATAGCTGTCGTGGCTATCCAAGCATGTTGTTAATGCGTCCACAACAAAAATAAAGAATAAAAAAAAATAAAAAAATTGTTTTTTTATCCCCAATGTAAACATACATGCATTCATGCAATTTATTATGCATTATTTCCATTGAGGATATATCTAAAAGAAAAGTCTTAAAAAAGATGAAAATCTCTTGTCTGCAATTTCTTCTCAAGCCCAGACTTTCTCTGGCTGTCCAATCAAAGACATTCCAGTGCAGCTTAATGAGAAGTCTTTGCAAGGCAGGTAATCTCAGAAATTGCCTGCCTCCAATGAGCTAGCCAAATCTGGAAGTTTTTGATATTTTGAGCAACAATTTGGAGTGCGGTATCCTTCCTTTTTTTGTATATTTTCATTTTGGGGTTAATATAGGTGGGTAACCCTGATACCAGCACCCTTTCACAGGTTCGAGTGCCAACATACATTTATATTTTTCAAACTAGGAAGTAACAGGACCTGCTGTCTGATTGACAGCCAATGGGTGTAACAAGGTTAATTTATAAAAGTAACAATTTCTATTTAAATCTGTACTTATACTAAAATGAAAGAGAAAAAAAAAGGAAATGCTCTTCACACAGTTTTTCAGCAAGCTAAAGCGCTTTAAAGCTTCATAGTGTCCCTTCCAATATCTGAATACTAAGAATGTGTAGTGAAGTTGATGTGAATTTGCAGCTTAACGCTTCTTCCAAACTTAAGATGTTTAAATTTTTTTTTTTTTAGGCCAAGTAGCATACATTGCTTAGTTGCAATGGTGGTGTGACCACAAGTTCCGCCACAAACCTTTTGGTGTAACGAGGCATAGCCAAATGTGGATATGGCACAACAGACATCAGGTATCTCAGATGTATTCTTAATAAATATATATATACTGGTATGTATGCTATTGCGGTTATAATCATATTTCAATATTTTAAACTAAAGCGATCTTAAATCTATCCTAAACAGGGGGAAGGGATATGTATTGTTTAAGGAGGACACATGTTACAACAACATTGAGATTATCTCATTATTATACTGCTAACCATTCAATTCATGAGAAGATATCTGCTTTTCATTAGGATACTGGCTCTATTAAAGGGACACTCACTCAACCCATATAAATTATTCTTCGAGCAGAAAACAGATCATATTACTTCCTGGTTTGGTTAGCCGATTTGCACTGAACTCAAGAGGCAGCAATTGCCCAGAGCATCTGCCTTGCAAAAACTTCTCATTGAGCTGCATTGGGCAGTCTATGATTGGTCAGCCACAGAAAGTCTTGGCAAGGTTAGAAGAGGAGGGCCTGCAAAGACAGTAGACGAGATAATCTGCAGGTTTTGCAAGCTGTTTTTAGATATAACCCCAATGAAAAGATGTATAATTAAAAGCAAACAAGTTTCCATTTGGGGTGTGTCTACTAAGCAGTGATTATTTTGTATTTGGGCAGTAAAGTGTTCCTTTAACACAGTAGATGTTTTTTCCCCCCTGCTGAATACAGGGCATGTGTGTACCTAGTAATGATTGTTTACCATGCCTCCCAAAGGTGAGGCTCTGCAAACTTGCAGTACTACTGAATTTAGCCCATTTGTAACGCCTTTGTTTACCTGTAGTTTAGTATCGTCTTTTGTAACCCTCTCTTTAAGAATCCAGTCTTTCCCCTTTTTCCTGTCAAATGTTGTTACATCTACTTTCTTTCCTGGTTGCATTCTGTTTGTACACATTTGCAACCTGAAAACTATACATCTCTCTACAAGTTCCTTGTGTAATTGTGCGTTAGTTATGCTGTTACATAGTAATAAATCCGTAGTATATAAATCTTTTCCCCTTACAGAGGTGTGACAACTGGAAATTCACTTTTCTTCCACAAAATACATCACTACTCTGGCATTAGGTATTCTCTGTTCATCTTAAATAAAATAAATAAAATTAAAAATGGAATATTACGTGCCAAACTTGGGGCACGCTATTAAAGGAACACTCCACCTCAATGTAGTGATTATGGTGCAGGGCTTAACTCAGGAGAGCTAATAGAATGTCCAGCTGGAGAACTCTCTGGAGATTGCTGTCGAGGCTGGGAGCAGCACCCAGCGGATCCCAGGAAGAGGTCAACCCATTTAAAAACGGCTTGACTCCTTGCAATGGGAAGGGGAGGGGGGTAGCCAAGGCACCATAACCACGACAGCAAACTGTAGTAGTTATGGTGCTTGCAGTGTTCCTTTAAATGGTTAAGAAAGAAACAACAAATTTGCGCTTTGTGTACAAAATGCCAATATATTGGTCAATGTCTAAAAATATTACAGTAATGAACTTTGTAACAAAACAATAAGGAGCCCTAAAACAGGTCATTAAAAATATTACATGGTTCTGAAAATAATATATTTGATGGTATAGTTTACAGTCACTTCTGTTTTATTTATATTCCACTAGCAGTATGCCAAAGCTGAACAGCACATGGTTCAAAACTATTGTGAATTTTAATATTTAGAAAACGTATAAGCCAGTCATTAAGTGTAACAAGGATCTTAGCATTGATCATTATTATGGATTGTGACTTATCAAGTACAAGTGCATTGCTTTGGATCTTAGTCACCAAAGTACAGGATGGCCTTGGATAGCTAAGTCATACAGGTTACTAAATAAAAAGTGAAATCAAAGAAGTTCAAATTTAAGGCTAAAACAGTCAAACTGCGAGTGCCAGGAAAACAAAACCCCTTCTGTGGGGGGCCTAACAAGCAAGCTGAACAGTTGCATGATAGCTGGGCTCCTGCTTTAATATTTTAGAATACTCACCATAACTGAGATTCCACAAAAACCGGGGTGCATTACCTGAGTTTGGGGTACCCTGGTGAAAAGCCTGATACTTTACCCGAGTGTTTTTGGAGATCGGGGGCATGAAGTGATGAAGGAGCCGGGGAGAGACGGCCGCTCTCCTCGTCCCTGTAGCCGAGGTGTAGTTAGACCAATATTCTACCCATCACCCCCGGACTGGTGGGGGTTATCCTGGTTCGTTCCTGAGAAGCAACCCATCTGCAACAAACTCACACAATGGTGTGGCATGAGCGGAATGCAAAAGCAGTGTCAAGCAAAATGGTGGAAGCCACGTGTGTACCCAAACACAAGGAAGAGAAGCCTGACTTGCTGGCTAGGTTGGACGAACTATTCAATGCATTCTGGAGAAAATTGGCACTCAGGGAGCAGCACACTAAACACCACAAACCTGAGGAGCACTCACCCCTGGTGTTGCTGGCACACTCCCTTCACGGACGTGCACTCCCTCGAACAGAGAGGGCCAGAACATGGTGCCGAAGACGGCAACGTCTCCCACAGGCATGCAAACCCATATGCTGCAACCTGCTAATGGCCAAACTCCACCGCAAAAAAACTACTCCTACCACCACCCTGCCTGCAGATCCAGTGATCCATGCTCCTGCCCTGGAGGGCCGACACCACTCTGGGTCAGAGACCCGCAAGAAGCCCACCAGTCGCCTATGCAGCCTACAGCACCTCCACATCCCGAAGTACAGCCCTGAGATATGGAGAAGGCGGCTGCCGACAGTAAGCAGTGAGGGCCCCTCCTGGAGCACAGAACCCTGAGAAAACCAAGCTCCATACCCAGCCACCAAACCGCAATATGATACCGGGCACCACAAAGAAACCACCAGCAGCACGCTGAACTGCCTCCTGCAGCACACTAGTGCTCCAAGAAGTCGCTGTTAATGTTATTACGGGACCTAAGAACCCTGTTTTAGATGTCGCTATGCATTATTAGCTTATCATAATGCCTCATAAATCTCTATTTCAGGTGGTTAATAATCCTTTTAATAATCTTGTAAATAAGCTTTCTGATAACTTATTTATTCTCCAGGAAGCAACCCTTACCAGTACTATAATTTACTGCCTAGCTATTCTGTCTTAGGGTAAGGTATACCTGGTACCTGGTTAAGCAACTTTGTCTTTAGTTAAAGTACTTTGTAAGCATGTTATATTAATCTCCCCCAGCATGGCCAGCTTGTGTGTAGCAATCTACCAACCTTTGCTACACTTAAACCTTAAAAAATGTGCCACTATCACAATGCCACATATGTGAAAGCCTGTGACAATATTGTGACTACGTATGCTGTTGTGGCATCGTATGTCTTCTTGTAAACCTGTGCACAACAAAAATAAAACATTTAAAAAAAATAAAATTAAAATAAAAAAATAGTCAAACTGCAAACAGACTGGAGAATGTTTCTAATTTGGCTATTGTGATCCAAATTTTAAAATTCATTGTAATTGGCCACCCACATACATAAAGCACTGCAGCTTTCTATAATGCTTGAATGCAAGTATCCAATTTTAACTACAATTTATAAAAGTGCCTCTCTTGCTTATATTAAACAAGCTGGTTAAGTTTTCTTCCTCTTCCATTAGCTCCACTGTGCTCTGCCATTGCATCCCCCACATCATAGTGAACATCGCGTATGCACAGGGCTCATAGTACTTTGACATCCTTCTGTGCTCTCCTTTGTCTGCCCTCCTGCATCATCATCTGCTCCTGTGTATACCTGGAGGTTTGGAAGCAGTTACTTTGTTGTGTTCTGTTATTTTCCATATCTTTCTTACACTGGGACTGGTGCAGGACTCCCAGCCACCTCTTTCCTGAAAGACTTATCTCTAAATACCACTTCATGCAATGCCCTTATCACCATGAGCCCAGCAACGTTAGGAAGCTCGGTACAGCATAGAGTGCCTGACCGGAAGCTACCCAAGAATCGCAAAGAACTATAGATCGGATCACAGGAGTGTCGCAGTCCGGTCAAACTTTATCAGAGTGGTTCTCGGCCCCAAGACCACAAAACAGGTCACTTTTTGAAAGGGATATCAGAAAGAAAGAGGCGCATCAAACAACACCATGGACTTGAGAGAGCTCCCAGTCCTGGACCTGCTAGAAGCTAAAATATGTGACCAGGACTTATGGACAAACGACCTGAAATGCGGAGGCAGATCGGAGAATAGCCATGACCCAGTAAAACTTTACCAGACTACAACTCGGACATGGATTCTCAGATCACGATGCTTTTTGGCCAGCTTTAAAATGAGGTATAGCATGTGGGAATACAATGTGTTATTGTTGAGTAATTTTGTAAAAGGTTGAACCGTGTGAAATATATTGTGTTATTATGTAACAAATATTGTGAAATTTGTCTAGGTATGGGGCAGGTAATGAATTTATCAAGAGGCTAGGGAGTGGTTTGCATGTTCTGTAGGGGTATAAATATATGTGTTTTCCCTGCACTTGTTTTACCCAAAACGACTGGTCTCGTCCACTATATTGGGGGATTATACAAGTGACAAAAAGAGCTATAATCACGGTATGCTGTAACTGTATCCAGGATTAGCGGTGGATTAAAGAAGCGGTGAGTAAGGGACCCTAAGCGACCTTGCTACCCATGACACCCGGCTCCTCTCCCAGCACGTGGGGATAGGGGAAGGCTTCTCAATGAAAAAAAAAATTAGATAACTTTCAAAGGCTGTGGATAGATAGAGTGGATAAACTGTGCACTTTTGAAATCTTATTTTTCTTAGATATACCCCTAATGACAACAAGCATAAATAAATGCATGGTTTCATTTGGGGTATAAGTAAATGGTGTTTATATTATTTATTTATTTTGGAGTGGAGCTTTCCTTTAAATTCACTTAAAAAATCCCAGCATTTCTCACTTTAGAGAATAACCCGATAATTACTACATAACTTTTTTTGTATTTACTATGTATTTGATAATATTCAAATATTTGCCTTCATTCTAATGTATTTGCTTGGGGTCTCCCTCAGTGACGAGGCAAAACAAAGGCCAAAACAATTGTCTGGGGTTGCTGAATATCTCACACAGAGGGAACTTGCTATGATTTCAGAACTGGATAGCTTTGTGGGTGGGATCAATCTGACATGCGACTGGTCTAGTTTCTCTCTGCAATGATGTATGTGAGCAAAAAGACCTGAGCAGGAACTATCCAAAAAGCGAGCTAATGAGTTTGCCTGTTCTCATATTATTTGTTCGTTTTTGCTTTAATTTCAAATTAAGCAAGGTTTTCTAAACAGCAGCTCCTGAGCTATGTTCCTGTTCAATTCAATGGGGTCCCAACCTAAATGTCTTAACATCTGTAACGGATCTCAGCCAGATAACTAAGAATATCTAACAATTTTTACTTAGCAAATGCAATAAACTGTATTAGTGAATAAAACCCTGAGAGTTTTCCAGCAGTTTGAATTAAAATGTAAAACAAATAAAATTTTAAATAGATAGAGCTCTCTACTAATTTGTTTCCAAGGTAGAAAGGTACTGAAGGTCTTATGATATGATGTTCTTGCAATGTTTTGCTGCACGAGATGGACCTGGCTGACACATTACGCCATCTATATCATTATTGATGGATTATACATTTATACTTTACCTTATAAGGTGTTTAGTATTTTGCAATCTCTGATCTTCTCTTTAACATGAAGAGGAAAAGGGGGTATTATATTTCTCTAAAATAAGTGCCTGAAAGGTAAGGGTTTAAAGTGCACAGAGATACACCAGTCAACTCTCTATGTCAGACATGCTAACGGATGCTGTTGCACATTGTGCCTGCTGTGCATGGATAGGAAAAAAACATATATGCAAGCAGGCTGAACCATGACAGGGTAACTGCCACAAAATGTGAAAGATTATTGCTAAAACAAAAAGGAAGTGTTTGTTGCAAAGGAAGCTTTCGCACCCGCATCCATTGTTCAAGATGATCTGTGCATCATATGTAGCAAGAAGGAGGGGGTGAAGCTACTTATTAATGGGCAGTAATCCGTTACAGAGCATCCTGGGGGAAACTGCTCCGAAACACAGATCCAGTGCTACATTTCCAAATTGTCAGTAAAATGTCCAAGGCTAATCTGTCCACGTTAATATCCCCCTGTTTCCTTTCTTCCTTGCAGCATGCTCTCAGTTTTACTCACATAAAAGTCTTTAAAAGAATGAGACATGGCTGCATTAGTGCACAGTTCCCTGGGAGTAAGAGGTCCGGCCTCAGACTAGGTGTGGCTCCTAATTCCAGCAGTGTCACGCAGGCCCGTTTAGCGTGGTTTCAGGAGTCAGGGTAAGATCTCCACGGCTGTAAAAATGTTAAAATAGTGTATTACTAAAGCTAGTCAACACATACAATACTCAAGCACTGCTCTATCATCCCCATACGATTGTCATTTAAGATGCAGGAAAATGTCTATCTTCTGCTTTCGTATCAGTAGCTCAAATATATAATCAGTCTTTATTCCCAAATGCAGCTAACATTTCATTTGGTTTGAAGGATGTATGGTGTTTCCCTTCAGTTTGATTAAATTGTTGAAGGTTATAAACGATTAAGAGTATTTAAGTGAGTGGATTGGTGGATGACTTGGCTTGATTGATTGTCTGAAGAATGTAAGTTACTTGAACACATATTTTTAACCAAAAGATCTCACTAAGCGTATCAATTAAACTGTTAATTAGCTCCTGACTGATTCCTCTTCTACAATTGTCACTAGTCTAATACTATCCCTACCTTTTGTGTAATTTTACCCCACTCCCTCTAGCATGTAAGCTCATTGAGCAGGGCCCTCAACCCCTCTGTTCCTGTGTGTCCAACTTGTCTGGTTACAACTACATGTCTGTTCGTCCACCCATTGTAAAAAGCCGCGGAATTTGACGGCGCTCTATAAATATCATAATAATAATGTTCTAGGGAATGGAAATTTATGCATGCGCATCCCACACACTAGCAGATATTTATATCTCTATGCAAATGAAATGCAAAAATGTCTGGTTTCTAACACATTTAACACGTTGCATCTTCAAATACTGGCCTTACATCTACTTAGTACTTGCCTCTTGTCCCTGCAGGTGCATTGTGTGTTTGTGGCAGACTGGGAAGTTTCACCCTGTTCTTGGGTCTGAGCCTCATCGCTGGTGTTACAGGAATGAAGTTCTTTTGCAGATCTCGTGTCTTTGATATTCAGCTGATCAAGGCCAAGGCCATCGGGGCTGCAATAAAGGAAGAATTTCATGCTAAGTTTTTCTCATTGCAACATACTCACAATGAAAGTTACATGGGTTTGCCATGGTGCACTTTACCACTTTGTGTATGAGTCAAGTGGACAAAACATGTGTGCAATATGTGAACAGTCATGTATAAGATGCATTAAATTACTCATACAAGCTCAAACACTAATGTACAATACTTTAATTGCGTGCCAAAGAAATCCTCTACAATATTCATCAGTGTGCTTTCAGTACTAATTAATGTGCTTTTAATTATGTGCATTCATTGTTTATGTATACCTTAATATACATAAACAGACATAACAGAGTGTGCTTGTCAATAGTGCATATATGTGTTAATAGAAACAATGTATGCATAAACAGTGACAGGCGGAGTCAAGCAGCTGAAGCATATGGACAAATAATGATACAAGGCTAAATTATTACCTTTATTTATTGCTCTATAACCCTGATTTGGGGAGCATTATAAGATTACAGAGTCTGCAGTTAGACTGTGGGTGGCAGGACCAAAAAAGAAAAGCCACAGAAACCACGGATGGGC